TTTCAACAATGGAATAACAATCAACTTACGTTATCTCTTGAAAATTTTTATCAAGTATTATTTAGTAATACTTTATTTTATTTTATTTTATATAATTTAATATCGTTTTATTTATTTAATGTAATTTAATTTTTGTTCACCATAACCTCCAACAAAATACGTTGACTCTCGGCTAAGGGTTTCTTCATATTAAAGTTCGACATATTTGAGTGACAAACATTACTGTTGCTTACGCTTTAAATGAATATGTCATTCATTTAACATTTCATTGTAAAAGGACAAGGACAAAAGCTTTCGAAATATTGCAACAATGGTAAAATAATCAAGTTACGTTATCTCTTGGTCGTTAGAATTTTGATCAAGTAGAAAATCTAAATAAATTATTGTTAAAAAGTGAATAAGCACAACAGTAATTCATTTTTAAATTCATCCACTAAACGCATGTAAACACACCATTATATTATTGAACGCCAAAAAAAAAAACAAAAGCTTTCTAATCACTTGCTGATAATTCATATTTAAAACGTCTAATACGCGCAGCAAATAAAAATAAATCTTATCACTCGCTACATTCATAGATAAGTATATGTAAGTATTTGTATCTGCGTATATATGAGTACATGAAGAAAAGTATTAATGATGAAAATCAATATTATGAACAAACCAAGCGAATTCACTAATAATAACAAGTACATTAGAATTATCTAAATGAAATTGAAAACATGTTTGTTCGTTATTTGTAAGCAGTGAAATTAGCAGATGTATTTTAATCGGATACTTTTTTTGATGTTTTACAATTTGCATAAGCTACACACTTAACAAATATTGCAAGAAAATGCCAAACCAGGCTTTGTGACAGCAAAAAATGCCTGGAGAGTATATGAAAATAGAAAATATACTCGTACATGAATATACTTACATAAATATTATTTTCAGGTTAGGTCAGGATAAGTTAGATGGGTGATTCCTCAAGATGAGGGGGATCACACTTGGACTGCTATGTACGAGTACAGTCATTTGTGAAGCCAGATAAGAATTTCTGTAGCTGTATATTAACTTTCGCCAAAGTGCCTTGGATGTTTGAAAGTATAAAAAGCGAGGTATTTTAACCTTGATCTGGCAAAAGCGGGACATTAGTGTAGGAAGTGTTGAGATGATTCTATCTCACCTTCTTCCAAGGAGCTTATGCAACTGGCATGCGTTCAATTTTTCAATCTCCCATTAAAACTCCTTCAACTATTATAAGATGAACTTCGCTGAGGGCGAAGAGCTCACTAGACCTCTTAGGATTTAAACTGGGTCAGAAAGCCCTTGTGACTACACAGTTGGTAGTAGCTAAGCAGCGCTTGCCGAGCTGGAATGGTCAGGAAGCCTTAAACTGGAGTTGATAGATAATTCCCGACAGTACTCCCTCGAAGGTATGTGAACAAAGAAAATATGATACTGCCAGGCTCGGTGACCTGATAATTCAAGTAATTAAAAACGAAGTTAAAGTTTTCGAGTTACCCAGCTTCTCTGAGCCTGAGAGCAACTTTCGTGATCATACACCTTCGGGTTATGTGCACGATTGCCATATGCAGCAATTTAATTGCCAACAACTATAAATACATCTGAATGCAGCTCATACAGATATGTACATACGTATGTATGTTTATGAATTTCACTTGAATATATAATATATATGTGCTTAAATTTATACTTTTATTCAGTTACATTTTATTTAATACAGGTTTATTAATGAATATCCATATGATCATATGCATTTACGCTTCTTTAAATTTAATATTAGAAATAGAGATCAAGGGAAAGATGTTATGATCATGAATATAACTTTTTTCATAGATATTATATTTGTATATATGTATATACAGCTACTCAGATACAATAAACGATAGTGAAAACTCTATTATCTGTGCACAATATGGAGGGTTCATTATTTATTTTACATATTTAATTTTTATTCGCTTTATAACTAAGGTTTTTATATTTATATTCCTTTTTATAGCAATTGTGATAATACAACTTTATCATTTCAACTAATTATTTTTCGCTTCATTTTATTTCATTATTAACTAATTAATTTTCTTTTTTTTTATCAATTTGTCGATTTTATTTAAATTCATATATTTTCATTAATTTTTATTTTTTTATGACCAGATATACCCTGTGGTATATTAACCTTGCCACGAAATTCGAACACGCAAAAGAAAACGTATGTATATACGCGAACTATTTCCTCAGTTTTTGAGATATCGATCAAAAATTTTTCACACATTCTTTATTCTTCAAGAAGCCCATTTGTCGGAACCAATATATTTATTAAATTTAGCCGCTTCGGTCGAGTTAATATCACATACATATATCTCATTTGAAGGTGTTTTTAATATAATTTAGCTGACGCAAATATACAGCAACAAAAATAAGTCTAAGTTTATGGCCTTCAACATAGGTCAAGAAGATACCAAAATTCATTGGAATTTATTCACAAGTTCGTCGAATAATTAATGTTGAAATCTTATCGCAACTTTTAATATAAAGTTTTGCCAGGAACTGAAGGGTCTTTGATTCTCGTATGTTGCAAGCGTAAAAGTTGTTCGGTTGCATCCGAACTTAGGCCTTCCTTACTTGTTCAATATCGGTTTTCGCATTTCTTTAAAAAACGAAAAAAAAAAATTGTGTGTATATTTCTATTCTGGGTTACCACCAAGGCTTCCAATATAGTTCATTAGCGTTGCAGTCGAGTTGATGCACTCATGCATATGTATGATGTGTGTTCATGTGTACATATGAATAAGCGGAGTTTCGACTGACCGCCAGCTGTAGACAGCAAAATTGAACTTTTAATTTGCATGTATGTACATACTTGTAGTATATTTGCACATTTATATGGATATATGGATATGAACACACAGAAGTGGACACTTGATTTCATTTTTAATATAGGTATATACCTACCTACCATACTATTAACATGCCAATACTAATAAAATGCTCCATTGATTTCATTAAGGTACCTTAGGCACTATCATCAATCTATATGGAGTAAAGTCAGCCGCATGTTCGAAAATACTGACATTAGTTATATAGGGGCTAGATCAAGTTTTCACCTGATTTTATCCATTTTAGGCATAATAATATACTGTTATTATTAAATCACGCTCTCTCATTTTCATTGAGATAACTAACACATTGGCCGATATATGCGGTATACCTAAAGTCAGCCAGAAGTTCGAAAAGCTTTATATGAGGTATACGGGAGCTAATGAAAGTATTGACCCGAGTCACCCATTTTTGACATACAGACATACTATTATCAGGAAATGATTCTCTCCGGATTTCAAAAATGTATCCCACACATTGAACGACATATTCGGTACCTAGGGGCTTGAATAGTTCTGCTTAGTTTTTGACAATTTTTTGTCATAAGGTAAAGTTTTATCCCATTAAAGTAATTGGTGCTTTCTTAGTATACTGGAATCAGATGGAATTTAAAATTGTGTGCGTGGTTGTATTTTCGCCCATTTTCGTAGTGCGACATAAGAATATCAGGATAATATTATACACCAAATTTGGTTGAAATCGGTCGAGTAGGTCCCCAGATAGGGATTTTCACCTAAATGTGGGCGGTAGCACACCCATCATCCAAATTTAAAGCCGGCACCTATAAAGCCTTTTTTACTAGTTCTAGTGTACAATTTTATGTATGCATTTTGTTATTGATTTATCGCACTTGTAGTTGTTTTTAACAAAATCTTTGTATGGGGAGGGGACGGGGTTATTATCCGAATTCACCTATTTTTACACTTTCGTAAGAAGGATTGAAAAAATTTGTGCTGTGCAAATTTGGTTGATATTGTATTAAAAGTTTGGAAGATACATATATATATGTACAGTATACTCGGCAGAGTTTTTTTTTAAGATATTCAAACCACAGGTGCGCGGCAAAGGTGCGATTTCGCTCATATACTTGTATAATACCAAACTTCTCACAGTGCCAAGAAACATATGTACCAAGCTTCATCAAGATATCTTTATTTTTATTCAAGTTACAGCTTGCGCAGACGAACAAACAGTCACTCAGATTTCATCTCGTCTCGCCATCCTGATCATTTATGTATATATATATATAAGTATATGTATGTATATATAACTCCATATCTATCTCGAGTAAAGTATTATAGTCTATAGCTACATATTGCCAAAGTATAAAAAAACTATATAAAAATCATATATGCATATACATACATATACACTTGTATACAAATGTTTATGTGTACATATGTATGAATTTTTTCCACCAATTTAATTTGGTATTAACCTGTTTATGCTATAAATATGAATATGAATGAATTTATAATGTTTACACATGTTTGTATTTCTACTCTCTCTCTTCTTCGTATCTGCAGTACATTATAAATTTGGAAATACAGGGAGATCAATAAAGCACGTCTGTTTAAACTACGGAATATGTATTTGGCAAATATAGGCCTCTAATACCATCCCACGATTTCAGGGATATGAGGGGTATGGTTGGATAGAGAAGATTCTCCAGATCAAGAATATATATAATTATATTTATAATTATTTATTAGTTTTAAAAACAAAATCACAAAATAATTTTCCAGTTGCTTAAATTTGTGTTCTTGCTTAGAGAGTACTCTGGTTATTGAAGACCCTATATTTAATTTAAGCTATTGAGTGGAATGCATTTAATTGGCATTACTATGAGAACTGATAACGATTAATATGTACACATAATAACTGTAAAATGTCTACTGTCTATTAACTCTGGCTGCAATAATAAAAAGTGATATAACATATCACTTGCACACGCCAGATAAAAGAATTATATTAAAAGAAATTGATAAAAAAACATCTTCAAACCGAAGGATTTAACTCCGTGCTCAAGTGCCCAGACCGCTACAACACTAACAACGTAGACGAATTCCATATCATCATAAAATGAATTCCATGAATTGTAACCAAACACACATTTGACATTCTATCAATTTATAATTTATTGTCGATTTCAGTTTTCTTTCGTTCCAGCTTACATATTTGTATACAATTGTTGCAAATCAAAATATATTTTAAATTTTATAATTGCACATAAAAAAAATGGTTTTTATTAACAAGTTATTCGTTTTTTACTTGCCACTAATGTAAAAATTAATACAAAATAAAATCACTTAAGATTTATGTAATTTATGCATTAATCAATATTTTTAACAACTGTTAGCTGTATTGTGACAAAAACAACAATAAAAAAAAAATTTACTATTTTTTATACTTATGCTTATTAATTTTTGTTTTTTCATTTTTGTGCTAATTATGTGTACATTGACAACTACAAACAATATGCACTTAAATTTATGTACACTAAAGCATACTGTGATTTGACATTGCGACGCTTATGAACATAATTTTACTAAGACCTTTGCTCATATATAATTGAAGAGCAGATTTACAATTGCTTTCAAAACTAAAAATAGTTCTAGTTATCTAATGTTCGAAGACAATTTGTAGTTATAAGTATTTGCACTTGGCTACTGGAATATAGGCAACCGTACTTTATGCGTCAAAACAAGCAGAACAAAAGCAACAATAAGCGCACACGCACTACTAGCTGTCGACATGGTTACATCACAATCCGGTTGATTTTTCGCCACTGCTGCGGTTAACATAATCTCGATATAATTTGTTCATTTGCTCTAAGAAGATGAAAGTCAAGACAGTATGTGGTCCGAGACGACAGAAATATGGTGTGAAGCCCTTCCAGAGAGCAAATACACCTTCGTGACGTGCCACCTTGAGAAGAACATCGACGGTGCCGCGATATTCCGGCTTGGCACCTGGAGCGGTTTTCATGTTTTGTATGCGTGTCTTGGCAATATCCAGCGGCATGGAGGTGATGGTTGTAAGGAAGCCACTCAACATACTTGAAACTAAATGCAGACCGATGCCCTCTTCCATCTTAAGTGGGCCATTCTTGAAGTAGGTCTTAAATTGTGAATAGGAAGCCAATTGAGTCATGTTCACCACCATGGCACGTCCCACGGTAGGTATACTACCACGCCACAGCGCAGTAACGCCTTCTTCGCGTACTATGCGTGTCAATGCATTTACAACATTGGTATAGTTGCGTCGTTCAGCTGGCGGTAGACGACCATCACTGGCCATACGAATAAGCGCTACCTCAGCCGGTGTGCCAATAAATGCACCACATGCACCGGCTACTACACCCATTGCCATGCTGTCCAATACACCGGGTGTACGTTTAAATTGCACTTGGAATGCATCCACTAAATAAGTGTAGACACCAAGTCGACCTGTCGTATAGGTGGCTTGACGTAGCAAAGCTGCACCGATACCTTGATACAAACCGAATGGACCCTCCTGTTTTATCACCGTTTGTATACAGTGCCATGAGCTGCGATATTCCTTTTTGCCGCCACCAGCACCAGAAATTTGCATTCTTGTCTTAACCAAATCCAGTGGTTGCACAATGCAAGTGGCGCCCATGCCAGCTAAGCCACCAAACATAAATTTCAAACCATTGGGAATGGGAGCTGCTGCTGTAGGCGCCACGGCAACCTTCTTTTCACTTTGATTTGACATTTCGCACTTTTGCAACAAACCTCGCGACCACTTTGGAGCTCAACGAACTAGATGGATGGATGTATTAACACCTTTCCACGACCGCCTCACACCAACTGAACTTCACAAACAAACAGCACCACCCTTGTAGTTTCTGTATGGAATTTGGAGCACTAAACGCAAATGTGCTTGAACAGCGAAGATACTTCAATTTTGAAACTGTCAATATATATTTAATTTATTAAGCGAATTTTGAACTATATTGCAAGCATTCCAATATTTTTATAAAAGCAATAACGGAGCAAAAGCCAACAGAGAAAACCGAAAACGCACCCGACTATCAATGAAAAAACGACTTTAAAAATCCCTGTGTTTGCTTTCTGCTAACGAATACACTTGCAAATAATATACAAATGTGTTGCCAACGCTACAAATTTCGTTGGCACAAACCGAAATGATAATGTACATGCTGAATAACAAGCAAAACTACAGAAACCTAACACTATTCAGTAAATGTAAATGAAATGTTGGCAACACTGTTTCATTGTACCTGCAGCGAGTGACAGAGTACAGCCGAAGAGATACTTACACACCCTACGGTAGCATCCAATTGAACCATTTTAAGTAATAATAATTTATATAAGGTTTTATACATACTTTCAACTATTTTACAAGCGAACAAACATATATAGGCTTTCTACTTAATTTCTATGCATACTCATAATTTCTTAAACATTTATCGCAACAAGATTTATGAATTCAATCGTAGAGTATAAACGACTCCCTCTTACCGAAGCCATTTGCCGCTGACAGCTGTTACGACGTCAATATGAAATCAGCTGTTCGCACTGATTGGAAAAAAATCTAAGAAGAGTATAAATTCAAAGAGCGCAGAGTCTACGCTCTGCATAAAGTACATGTTCTCTTCGATTCCTCAAAATCACTCGTGCACAGTGTTGCATTCATATGAAACTTTTGTTGCTTTTGCTTATATGTTTGCTTTTATCACGCATGCATTTGTAAATGTTCTGCGAAGAAAAACTTTTATCGCCAAAAAAATGCAATTCAGAGATCTCAACGTATTTGTATAAGGAAATTACCTTGCACTTGGCACAGTCTCAGCACAACGACGCACATTCATATGTATGTACATACATATATACTTAAGTCCCCGCTGTCCATTCTACGCTACGTAGTCACCTTCAAACTATTTTGGGAACGACGCAAAGATTTTCCTATGCTATGTATATACGAATGTGTGTGTTTGTTTGAATGTTTACAGGCATACGGTGTGCGAACGTGTGGGCGACCGAGTGAATAGCATGAATGAGTACAATGGGTTGTTTCAGAAAGTAATTTATTAAAAAGTTGAACACATTGCCATGCAAATGTATTAAGGCGGTAGTGATTACTTAAGAACTACTTATTTTAAAAATTCCAAAATCCCATTGAACGAAAGCTCGTAAACTGCTATAACTAAATCCCAAACTAAAAATTTAATTCGGTAGTGGGGATAGCCGTAAGCTAAAAACTTATAAAAAAACGATGTGGGTCCTAAAGATTTAAAGTACCGTGACACCGTCTACCTCTACGTGTAATCCTATATCAGGAACTGTTCAGAAAATTTTAAAAAAATTTGATTTATAAAATTATTTTTATGTCCATATATTTCGCTGTGAAATCGCTGACCCATGCCTACTTCGCATATATCGCAATTTTATATTACTGAAATAAAAAGACAACACTTTCCTGATAATAATGCGTTTATGTGTCAAAAATGAGTAAAACCGCTTCCGGTTGAGAGCAAGCGTTTTTAGTACCCCTATCGACAGTGTGAAAATGAGTGAAACCAGGTTACAACCCCGCCCTCTCCCCATATAACGGTACTGTTAAAAACTACTAAAAGCGTGATAAATCAAGCACTAAACCTGCCAGAGACATTAAATTTTATATCTGGGATGGTATGAGATGACTTTATAGGAAACATGCTCAAAATTAGACAGTGGGCGTGGCACCGCCCACTTTTAGGTGAAAACCCCTAACTTTGGATCTGCTTAACAAAATTCAACCAACTTCGGTACATAACATTCTTCTCATATTTCTATGTTATAGTGCGAAAATGGGCGAAATCGGATTCAACCACGCCTATTTACCATATAACACCATTTTAAATTCCATCTGATTCTTTCACTTTCCACTATGCAAATCAAGCAACAATGACTGTATCGGGGTTAAACTTAGTGTGAATAATGCGTTTAAAGTGTGCCCCCTTGTGACCAAAAATTGTCTAAATCGAATTAAAACTGTTCAAGCCCCTAGGTACTGAATATGTGGACCCCAGTGCCTATAGTTGACCTTTTACCGAAAATATCGGTCAATGTGTAAGATATTATATATAATTGAAATTCATATAATAAAATAAATAAATGAAACTCTCGATAATAGCATACTTTTGTGTCAAAAATGGATCCTTACAAGTTGCAAGAGTATAAATCGTTCGGTTACATCCGAACTTAGAACTTCCTTACTTGTTTAGTATAAGGTTTTCCCAACACCTGAAAGTATTTCGCCTGCTTAGATCCTTACAAATTGTAAGAGTATAAAACCCTTCACCAAGAACTAAGCCGTATTTAGGATTCCGAATTCAATTGACTGGAAGTTACGACAGAAATTGTCAGTATTTTGTAAATAATAATACAAGTATTTTAAACCGAGTCGAATCATTGCTGCATTTTGTTTTTTTCACTTTCAACGAACCGTCATTGAGTATTCCGTTAGCACACAAGATATGTAAATTTGCTGTCATTTTGTTATCAAAATTTGTAAACTTATTTGTAATGTAATTGTCTAAAAATTAACAAAGAAACGAAAAACAGTATATGTAAATTATTTGTGTGTATATTTTTGAAATACTTGTAATAGCGTCTTCGGTATGCCTGCCCAAATCACCACCCTTGAACAGATCATCCGTTACAAGCGGAAGAAAAAGCTCTACAATATGACGCCCATGTTTCAATATAATTACTACAAACATCGCTGTCGCGTCAAGAATGCCAAAAAATACGTCGACGATTCACCACCGATTTTGCACTTAACGAATATAATGAATATGAAAAATAATTATCTCGACATGTCGGCCATTTCGGAAATTATGCGCACGAATACCGAAATTTTGGAATTTTTTGGACGAATGCAAATTTTGGGACGCAAGAGCTCATGGAATGATTCCTTCGATGCACAATGGCGCTATTCACGTATAGCCCCTATGCTTAGATCATTGGAAGCTATTGAGAAAGAGAATCACTTCATAGCGAGACGTGTGTTGAGCGCGCAAAAAATGGTCAATACAAATTTAAGGCCACTCTCAGCGAGTTATGTTGATTTTCGCACGCCCAAAGAGATCTTAAGTAAATACAAATCCGAAATAATCTTACTGCCCAGGCGCTCTGAGCAACGTTTACTGCTGCGTCCAATTGTTTACTTCGACTTGGAAGTTGTCGATCTCTACTCTATCGGCCGTTTTATCGTACAGCTTTACACGGAAGCATTCCCACAGGCAGTACTAGCGATGGTGCGTACGTGTCAGCAACAAAAATTACATAGGCTTAAATTAATACGCGCCTTTCCCAATCTTTGGGCCGAATTTGAACTTAAACTAGATCCGAAAGACATGGACTTGACTACAGAATCGCACATCGAATATGATAGACGTGCGTTGAAACAGAACATCGGATCTGGTATATTATCATTCTCCCTGAAGCATATTGCAACATTGCGTAAGGGTATTTTAAGTTTTTCTCTGAGTTTTAGACCGCTCTCAGTGGAAATGAAGGATCGTGTGCCTTTCGGTGTTTTGATAAGAGGCAAGCGTGGTCTTTATTTGCTGGAGAGTAACGGCACAAAGCATGGCAAACCGATGAAAAGAGTTATTGCAACGGCGATGGGTATAAATCCATAAAGGATATCCGCATAGTAAAACAAGAGTTGTTCCCCGTATAAGGAATCTTCTAATAATTTCTCTCTATAAATTTTGTTTAAGCGTTTCATTCAAGGGCGGTAAGGTTAAACTGAAGTTTAGTATTTTTTTCTTTTGGAATGAGTTTTAAATTGTTTTAAGCGTAGCCAAAATTTTATTGTATGTGAGTGTGTGTTAAAATTCTATGTAAATCCCGGTATATAATCCCTAGTAAAGCTTTTAATAAAAAAAAAATCTTCAAAAATATAAGTTATTCGATGAAAATTATTTCAAAAGAAGAGCTCAAAAGCGGTTTTTAATTACCAATTCTTATTAATGTAATTTATTCTCTGAAGAGAGGTTATATTGATTACACCTTCACGATCCTCGGCCAACGTGATTTAAAAAACAATTTAGCGTAAATAATATTCCGCTTAGAGACCTGAAAATATCGTCAAAAAGACTAACTAAAAGAGGTTGAGTATTTTTTAAGTAACGCAAAACCAAATTTTTAAAGCTTTTAAAGACTAAGATTCTAGGGTTATATATGTAGTAAGTATAAGTGGTACACGTATAAAACCGCTCAAACGTGCTAACAATATCAAATTTGTGCAGAAGTATAAAGGTATTTAGAATATTATATAATATAAGAAGCTTCTGATGGACGATATGTTGCTCTCGGAACGATATCTTTGATATATCGATGTCGTCACTCTATTGATATACTGAAAATGGAACTACGCAGCTTTTTTTATTTCTTTAGGAGTACAAATTTGAAACACAAAGAAATACAAAAGTATGTACCCGAAATCTTGCTGGTTGCCTCTGCCTTAACTGATTCTAGAGTGGTAATAATTTTAGATTACAAAATAAATAATTTACAACTTTCACCATTTGGGTCACAATAAACAATAACAATTCTGAATTTATAAATTGGTAATCAGAGTTTATCTAAGAACAAAGTTAGTGTAAGTTATGTACAATACAATCTGATAGCTTATCAATTTGATATTACGGTGCTCGATTTAACTGTTAATAAACCTGTTTTTCGCATTACCCTCAGATATTTATATTGGTATTTCTTGGTACTTCTTATTGTAGTATTTCAAATATAAAATAACATGAACTGATACTCACATCTTCATATACTAATATTGTCTTGATTGATTGGTATCTTTAAGGTATACCAAGACCCTCCAAAAAAATGGTAAATAACATAACTCTTTTTCTTATCCAAGGTCTTAAATATACAAAGATGTACATGTTTGTGACATGATGTTGCATGCTCAGACTTTAGGCCATTCATTTCCCCAGATAGCGCTCCTCCTTTTATACTAAGGTCACCAAACCATATTACACATAGACATATCATCAAGGCAGCGCTTGTGCTACTCCATATTTTTACAATATATGTGCCATCAATCAATGTTACTACTGATTCTACCCATATTCACATTATCTCTCTAACCCACACGATAAGTAAAAATATATACAGGGTGGTTAGAAGATTCCTTAAACACTTTTGTTAACAAACTCAAAACAGAATTAATATGGAAATCATTGGATTTCTCAAAAGTTACAATTGGTACACAATTTTTTTCAATTATAATTATTTTTTGAATTTCCTAAACGAAGCAATTATTTTTTACCCTGAACGGGGTATATAAAGTTTGCCACGATGTTTGTAAAAGCCAGAAAGAAACGTCGGAGACCATATAAAGTACATACTTATATACATATTTAAAGTGTCCATGACCGTCTGTATTTAAGCGAACTGATCCCACAGTTTAAGTTAACGTTTCTTCTAATTTTTTATATTTTCAAAAAACAAATTCGTTTTGGTCACCCTTTACATTTACATCGACCCTCAGGCATATTTAAATGTGAGCTGCTATCTTTATCTAAGAATATCCATCATCCAACCCATAGTATTGGTAATCAATAGATTTTCACGCTGTGCTAATCAAAAGCATTTTGGCATTAGTGTAAAGTTGAATGAATCGCCTGAGCCATGGCTACACATGTATGTCCGCTTGCTTCCTCGGATTCGACAGCTTTGAAGGATGTGCGAGTGAGTATAGGTGCACACAATTTTGTGTATATATATTATTCTTAGGTACTTGTTGTTGTTACCTTTGTGCACTCATCGCGTGTCCTTTACATGGACGGACGACACATTCACCTGTACATATGCTTAGGATTTTCAAAGCTGGCTAATAATAAATGTATATAAGAGAGTAGTTGACACTTGAAGGTTGCGCGCTGCACGCACACAAGCCTTCAACCGCAGGGCCCACAAATCACCTGTCTTCAATGCGTTTGCTTAATGCGCTCACGATACGTTGGAAAGCTATTTCAGGAATTAAGCAATCGGTAGGGTTAGAGCATAACTAGAGAGGTAGAAGATTTCTGTTAACTTCAATAACTTTCGTGTTGCTTATGGATTTGCATTTAAGGATTTTAAACAAAATTTGACACATGTCGTAATGAATTTCTATTTTTAGTTTAGCCAAAAGAGCCGTGAAATTAAATTTAAGAATGCACGTAAATAAATTCAGCGCGGCTTTACTTTCCTCTCATATCAGATAACTTTAACTACGGATACCTCACGAATGTTTGTATATAAGTATGTGACGTCATACTAGCGAAGTGATAAAAATGTTAAGTGACATTTTTTTACAGTGCCGCCAGGCATTCCAATTCGAATTTAAGCAATTTGACCATATTAATGATAACAGAAAAAATACTTCCCCAGAAGTTGATATTTTTATGATACTAGTTTAAAACAAATCCCTCTACAAATGTCGCAAATAATAACCGTACTGCTTTTAGTTCTCAAATTGGCTATAGGTTGCAAAGTAAGTCATTAGAAATGTCTAGGAAACCCTACTTCCATAAAAGAATTATGCTAAAAATATTATTTTCTGAACCATAAAAACCAATTAATTTAGAGAGTATAAAGAGTTTAGGGAGTTCATACAAAAATAAGGTTAGAGATATTATAATAAATCCTAAATGAATTTTTAACTGAATATTATTAACTGCGATACTAATTGATAGAACATTAAATAAACTTAATTCCATTTTAGAGATCCAAATAAGTTTCCATGAAACTATTTACAAAGTGGCTTTCTTTACAATGGAATAATTCTTTATTTTTCGAGATTTTTCACGAATCGATCCATACATTCGCATACCCGGCAGGCTTTTAAATTAGTATTGAAAGCATATATATATTTTGTAGTGGAACTTAATGCTTTCTGGCGTTATAAAGGATCTGTAGGTCTATGTATGGCGTAAAAGCCAGCCAGTGTTACCTAATCTAACCTTTAAAGAAGACGTACATATATAAATTCTACAACTAAAGACTTCAGAGATAAAGCATTTGGAGTTTTGGTATTAACAAAAAACTGGATAATAAAATTTCGTATGCTAATGAGACACTATATTTATACCCTAAACGGGGTATATTAAGTTTGCTATGAAGTTTGTAACACCCAGTAGGTAGCATCGGAGACTCTATAAAATATATACACAAATGATCAGCACGACGAGCTGAATCGTGTTAGCCATTTCGTCTGTCTGTATATGCGAAAACTAGTCCCTCGGTTTTTGTTTCCTTTGTATCACGTACATAGATGCAAAATTAGTATTTTAGTAGCGTCTATTTACTATCTTCCAATTATTTTTAAAATTTTTAACTAATCTGTTCATCAACACAAAAACAATAATCTTCAAAACAATTTTTTCAAAGCAATATACTGCTATATTTAACTATCGCAAACCCAACTCACGCCACCAAGATAACGAAATCAAAATAATTTGGTTTTTAAATAACAGTTCTAACAAATGAACCACATAAAAAACAGAGGTGTGTCAAGAACGCTATTAGATGATAGCATATAAAATGTTCATTGTGAATATGCGAATTCATTTCCTATCGCAATACATGCAAACACACCCAGTTACGTTATTATTTATTACAAAAATAAAAAGAGATCAAGCTGAAATTGAGTATTGCATAATAATTTACTGCTGGAGCATCCGAAGCTAACTCAAGTGTTGTCGAGGGTGTTGCGAGTGGCGCCACGCGCCATCGGCAAAATATTGATAAGCGTTAAACGTATCGACCCCGACTAACCTTCAACAGACGAAATGAATGTACAAGCATATGAAGTAATATACAAACAAATGAGGTTGGTTGCTTTTTCTTTTGTTTTTTACTTTGACAAAATGCAATAAAATCAAAATGACAATGCTATTTCAATCAGCAACATCAGTTGAAGACGCACTCGATTTGATCATGGGACGCGTGCTTAATTGTGATCCATAATTGAATATTATTGAAAATACCAAAATTTTGTGATTTATAGAATAATTTCAATAGTGCAAGCATATTTTTTCACCGGTATTCGGTTTCAACTGGGGCTAAAATACAACCAAAACTGATCTCATTTTATTCACTGTCCTTGCGGATGTACAGCCGTTAGTTGTGTCTAGTGAATTCCAAAACCTATCAATGTACAACTAAAACCCTAGCTGATAGTGCTTTGAAATAGATAACCTCTTTTTTTCGAAACATTGTTTTTTCTCGTGAGGAAAAATCTTCATATGGTCCAACCAAAGATTTTAAGTAATTCTCTTCATTTTACCGACCTGTTCAGCACACAGGTATCTTTATGTTTCGAAGACCGTTATTGAGATTACTTTTTACTCAATTCAAAAAATTGCTACATGAGAAAACAGAAGTCACAATGAAGACAGGGTGTATATTACTATTAACCGTACCCTCATCTCGCTGAGTTTTAGCACAAGCAAATTCTACTTTCTTAAAAAACAAAGGACTGAGCAACTGTATCAGCGTACACTTGATTACGGGTCCAAAGAGTAATGAACAGATAGTGTTTTCAAGTGATCACTGACATAAAAAACAATTGTACCCGAAAGTAATTTACAGCAAAGGGTATTATTGCTTTGTACACTTAAGATCTTCTTTTAATCGTACGAAGGTTCAAGATGCAACAAAAGAGTTCTCTTACTATATATTAAAAAAAAAAATGGGACATTACAATTGTTTTTCTTATTGAAAGCGATACTTAATATTTCTGAAAAATTGGTATAGTGTAGAAATTAATTAATCATGGGTTTGTGATATTTTGGTTGTTCTTTGTAAACAATGCTTGTTTAACGCATCATCAAGTTATAGTATTTATTTACCAGGATCATTTTAAAACATGTATTTGAATTTGTCGGAGAGTTTACAAAAAAGC